AGAAAACAGTAAAAAGTAAAAAAAAACTGTAGATACATATGATACATACTGTATACAGATAATAAGGGTAGTGTGTAGGAGAAACAGAAATGTGGAGTACAGAACAGTCATATAAAAATTACAATAATGCAGACAAATTGAACAATAGGGTTGTGGGGGGAGAAACATAGAAGTGAGGACAACAAAAACAGACATATATTGAAAATCAGAATTAACTGTGGTATGCTAATTTGAAAAGATGTTATACATGTGCTACAGTTTTTGTTCTTCATGAACAAGTAGACTCCCAGGCTACACATGTTAATTAAAATAGAGATCATATTAATTATTGTTAGCTTGGCCAGTGGTGTATTCTCTGTGTTAATAACCATATTTTATTCTTTCTGGTACAGACTATGTTGACTGCCATATCCATGAGTGCCATTGCTACTAATGGTGTTGTTCCAGGTAATAGAGCGCATGCATTACCTGTCTGTTCATTATATTGAACAGACCCTAATATAATATTTAAATGATCAATATTGTATTGAAGAGAACCGGTCTCTTTAATATAAAATGATTGTGGTGATTCACTCATTCTGTTCCAGCGAATTCAACCTATGTTATGAAGTAATTTTTGGGAAATTTTGAATGCAACTTTGTGGGAATTATTTTGTTGCATCATCTGAAAGGTGAATTCGGAAAATCTAAAGCAAATTTTGCTAATTTCAACCAACATAATTTGATATTGTCTTCAAAGTTCAGAGTAAAAAAAATAAATAAATAAAAATAACTGAAGAATTGCCAGAAGCGTCCTATGTTGTTGACAGCTGTTCTTGTTTTTCACAGCTGGAGGGGCATATTTCATGATCTCACGCTCACTTGGTCCAGAGTTTGGAGGTGCTGTGGGACTGTGCTTTTACTTGGGCACCACCTTTGCATCTGCCATGTACATTTTAGGCGCTATTGAAATCTTCTTGGTATGTTTACAAAATGCTATTTTGCCTTTTGCATTGCAACCCCACATTTTATGTTATCCAAATGTTATGTGTTATGTTGTGTGCATTCAAAAATATAGACATTAACATTATTAAACAATCTTATAATTAATTTAAAGATGTAGAGGTCTTTAGGAGCTTGGATCAAAAGAGGGAGCTGGCTGAATAAATAAATAACCTGATAGCTGGAGGTGCACAAAGTTTAGCAAAATTACAGCACTTTGTCCTTAAACTTACAGTTTAAGTTAATATTTAAAATTATATATTCTGAGTACAGTTGGATAAAGGTAATGCCAGGTTTTTTGTTTGTTTTTGCTAACAACTTTTTTGTTTTACAGTGTATAAACAAATTCTGCCACAACTTAAACAGTGTGAAGTTTTTTGTGTTACATACCAGCAGAAGAGGAAGAAAACCACATAAAAAGATTCAATAGATTTTTGAGGTTGAGAATGTTGAAAATATTTATTTCCCAAATATATAACATTTTTAATGGAGCGAGAACAAAACAATCCTGTTCAAAAATAATAATAATAAAAATAGCACTAATAAATAATGTTGGATGTTCCACCGCTTCAGATGTTATCATCCATTAAATGGACGTTATTAGCCATTATCAGTGCCATTTGGCTTCAGACTGGCTTCACACTGTCCCGACTGTGTCGCCTAGTGGGTTCTCCATCCCATAGAATGGTTTCAGACTTTCAGCTGGTTAGTATGAGGTATAAAGCCACTAAGGTTTTTTTATGCAATCTGGTTAATATGAGGCATAAAACCATTGAGGTTTTTTAATGCAATCTGGTTAATATGAGGCATAAAACCACTAAGGTTAATTTTAGAGAAAATGACATGGGCTACGATAAAGTAGACCGGACTCCAGGGGTAGCAGATTGTTGCATTCCAACCTATATGGCACTGGTAACCCACTAGGGGGCACTGTCGGAACAGTCTGAAGCCAATCTTTGGGACTGATAACTGCTAATAACGACCATTTAATGGACTGATAACATCCAAACCAGCTGGATATTCACTGACTTCCACTGAATTCCTACTGTAGGTCCAGCATAGGCTACAAACTGTTAAAATGACCCAATTCTTACTGGAAGTTCTGAGTACTGAGTGGCAAATCAATAAGACTCATCTTACATTTAATTGATAGTAAACAGCAAYGTATACTCACTTTATGATGTGTTGTGAAGATAGTCCCATGCATGAAGCCAATGTGATGTGTAAAAGCAGTTTGCTTGTTGTAATGTCTCCTTTTAGAAATATCTGGTCCCTCAAGCAGCCATTTTCCATCCCACTGAGCCCCTTGGAAATGACAGTGCCCTGCTGAACAACATGCGAGTGTATGGCTCCCTGTGCCTCAGCCTGATGGCCGTGGTCGTTTTTGTTGGGGTCAAATATGTGAACAAGTTTGCCTCCCTCTTCCTGGCCTGTGTCATTATTTCAATTGTTTCCATTTATGCCGGGGCAATCAAGTCCATGACTCATCCGCCTGAATTCCCGTAAGTGCTGTAAAAATAAACATGCTGTCTGCGCAGGATGTGGTGTGAACTATTAGGAGCTTTGATGTGAAATTAGTTTTTTTAGGACAAAAGAGGACATATTTTGCACTGCTGTATTGCATATGATAGTATTAATTTGCTTTGTAAACCCCCCCTCCCCCTCGTGCTTTGCCATTAGTGATTAAAACTTCTCCCTGTTTTATTTCTGCAGGATCTGCATGTTGGGTAACAGGACTTTGGTGAGAGATCGTTTTGATGTGTGTGCCAAAACCGTGGTGATGGGAAACACGACAGTACCCAGTCAGCTGTGGGACAGGTTCTGCCTACCTGGGAACATGAGCAGTGCTCAGTGTGATGACTACTTTATCCAGAATAACGTGACAGAAATACAGGGCATCCCTGGACTGAGCAGTGGGATTGCCAGAGGTTAATCTAACATCTTAACGTCTGTGCAGTTTAAAATACCTAATACAAAAACGTTTTTTTTTTAAAAAGGCCCAATTGAACTGCTAAATGTAACTTGTAATGAACTGAGAAATGCTTTGGATCACAATTTATCAGTGATCCAATCTTGAGACAAATAAATAAAAACACATTTTCTTTAATGCAACAGAAAACATGTGGAGCAACTACCTGCAGAAAGGAGAGATCTTAGAAAAGGCGGGGCTTCCGTCTGTGGATGGTCACAGCGCCATGGAGAACTTCATCAACTACGTGACAGCAGACATCGCTACATCCTTCACACTTCTGGTTGGGATCTTCTTCCCATCTGCAACAGGTACTATATATAAATG